TTCTTATAAGCAGTTCTGGTTAGAAAGTGGCTCACCAAGCAATAGTTTTACACTTTCACTCTAAAAGCTAAGACTAAAGTCACAACGATGAAAATATTCTTAAATTTGTGATTAAACAAAGTATACCGGATGAGCACCTACAAAGATCTAACAATCCTGTTTTTCAAAATTTGCTTTTGAAATTTACTACATTAGAAACCACATATGATCTAAAAGTGCTAACTTGGCCTAAATGGGTATGATTTTAAAAATACACGAAACAGGTTATTTTAAAATTCTGTTAATACATATTTCATTTTACACTTTAAAGCACTTTTATTTAAATGTCGCTCAAAATAAAAGTTCCTCATTTAAAGAATATCATAAAATCAGCAAGAAATAACACATGCCAATCTCAATCTATGTCTATGCAACAAATCTGACTGCCAAAAAGGCTGAATACAATAGGACACCAAATGACTTATGATAGCTAGAAAATGGATTTTTTTTTTTTTTTGCTAAATAAACTTTTAATTTATGGAGAAAGGCAAATCCACAACCTGCCTTTAAACTGTGGGGTCAAAGGCATTAATTTCTGGACAAATATGTAAATCCTGAGTGGCAAAATTTTGAGATACAGTTCAGGGGGAACTGCATATTAGGATTGCTCATTCTTTTACTTAAAATGTAATATAAAGTCAAATGTTTTGCTTTGTCTCTACAGAAACGCCAGGCATGTTTAGTCAACTTACTTGAACTGCATGTCTAGGAAAACAATTGTTCATTAGAGATATCTGATGGACATTCTGCTGGAGGAAATTTAATATTTACTCTCTCGTTAAAAGGGTAAATAACATTTGAAAACAGAAGAAAAGTTTCTTTACTGCTGAAAATACAGCCATCAGCTGTTGAGACATTAACTGTTGCAACTCTAGAATACATGTAAGTTTATTCATGCAGATGGTAGAATTCAAACTTTCAATGAACAAACTACATGCTTTTTCAACCATAGGCTCTCCCTGCAGGGATAAACACTGTGGAGAAATCAATACCCACTCCAACTTGTCTGCATACAGTGACTGTCTTAGATCAAGCACGGTCCCAGGTGCCGATACTAATGGGCAATATATGTCACAGGTGCATGCAGTAATGCTTACTTCAGAAAGAACTAAACTAAGCCATCAGGTCATTCATTCATTGCATAGAGCCGTTGTCCTTTGCATACACCCCCCATATACATAGCTTTTCCTCTACACGCCGCATTTCATCATCTGCCTGAGTGGACAACGCCTGAATCCGCTAACTCCTTTTATAGAGTTCTAAAGAGGGGAGAGGGGCAGGAAGGGAAATAAACAGTACTCCGGATCCCAACGATCTGAGTTTATTTCCTGGAAACCGGGCAGCCAAAACAATGAGAGAAACAGACGTGTGCAAATAAGTTGGTTCTCCGCGTCCTCGGGCCTCCGCCAGGCGCGCGGCTGTGGCTTCCCGGGTCCTCTCCAGCGCCCCTCGGCCACCTCGGCGTCTCCATCTGCACCGCCAACCAGGCAGATGCGTTCGCCAGCCGGGCTGAGCCGGGGGATGGGCCAGAAAGTTGCTGGGATCGGCGGGAAGCCGACCGGCGCCCGGGAGCCCGCTCCCCAGCGTCCACCTGGTGAAACTCCAGAGCCCCCAGAGGAGAGAACGAAAGAAGCAACCGCCGGGAAGGATCACAGAACTGGAAGGGAACACAGGACGGGGCCGGGAGAGACCGGTTTTCCTGGACTCCCCGAAGTGGCTTTACCAAGGGTTCCAGGTAACCCCGGGGACCGCGCCACATCCCTCCTTTGGGGTACTGCGAGCGGGCGGCAATCACGTGCAGTCCCGGTCACCCAGACCCGCTCCGGGCATGGCTGTGCCCCGACACCGGGGGCAGGCTCCCCGGACCCACTCCCAGCCCTCGCTGCCCAGGACCGCTCGGCGTGGATCGTTAGGCTCCTATTTCAAAACATGCAATGAACACACGGAACCCGCTCCGCTCAGTGCCCTCGCGCAAAGGGCAAAGCCAGGAGCTGCCGGGCGCCGGGGGAGGGGAGAGGGACGGGGGCAGGGACCGGGAAGTAGTTAGACAATAGTCAGGGGAGGTTATTCCCGGGACAAAAAGCACCTGGCAAAGCGCGCCGAGGTCAGTCCTGCCGAGCCTCCACGTTCTGGCCGTGGCTTCCCGGGGAAATGTTTTTGCAGACCCAGGTGGCCGACAGCAACAACAGTGCGCCACGAGCAACAGAGTCGCCGTCCCCGGAGTCCTAACTACTTTTTCTCCCCCTCGTCCCCCAGCTCCGTGCAGCCCGCGCCGGACACCGGGGCTTCTTCCAGTTTCCCGAGAGAAGCAATGTCTCTCTCGCTCCCGCACAGCCCAGCCAGCCCGCGCCCGCGGCGAGGAACAATGGGTCGCGGAGACAAAAGTTACCTGCGCCGAGTGGCGCCCAGCCCGGGGCCCCGGGGCCCACCTGGCACCAACTCTGGGGACATCTCTCCCTCTGCCCTGTGCCCCCCGACTCCGGGCCGAGAGAGCTTCCCCCCAAGTCCTAGCCTCTGGCCCTGGCGGGCAGCCTCTGCACCCCTCCGGGGCCCGGGCAGGCATCGGGGCCACTCACCTGCGGAGAACTGGCCGCGGGCCGACCCCAGCAGAGGCCACGGCGCGAGGAGCCAGAGCGCCACCAGCGCGGGCAGCGCCGCCGCGGCTGGATCCATGTCGACTTTGGGAGAAGTTTCAAGCAGCTTTGCCAAGAGCTGCCCC